GGGGGTATTGGGGGTGTAGGGGGGTCGCCGGGTAGTGGGGGTTGGGGGTATTGGGGGTGTAGGGGTAGTGTCTGTTGTTCAAGGGTGGGTGTGAGGGCACTGAGGGCAGTGAAGTGCAGTGGGGGTTGGGGGTCGTGGTGGGAATGTGCAGGTTGGGAGGAGGGGCCGGGTGGTGTGTTCTGGGTCAGATAGGGGTTTTTCGGTCCTTTAGGGGTGTTGGGGGAGGGGGTGTCAAAGGGGGGTGAATTTTTTTATTTTTTTTTCAGGTTTGAGTGTTCGGGCACGTAGGCACACGTATCCGAGGCCCAAAGCGAGAATTTCGTTTTTCGGAATTCAACGCCAAGCCCCCGTTTTTGCGTTAAACGGGATTTAACGGGGGTCCTGGGGCCCGTTAAACGGATGAACGGCTGTTGAATTTCGCCCGTTCCCCGTTCAAAAGATACACAGCACACCGACACAAACGGACGTACCGCCACGAAGTGTGGACTGCTTTGTATGCCGACTTCCAGATTGTTGAACGCCACACGGTGAAGGATCGGCGTCGATGATGAACGTGCGGCTCGCCTCTCTACCGCCGCCAGAAGACAACCCGAACCGAAGATCAACTCCCCCATCGTCGTCGTTTCCCAATCCCTGCTGCAGGAGTGTCGTGTACTCGCCGCGTCCGTTGCTTGCCGACCCGCCTGCAAGCACCGTCTGCGACAACAGTTGCGTCGACCCGCTGGCGAGAGGAAACGTTGGAAGTTCATCCCCCTCCAGCTCCTCATCCGAGGGAGGCAGCGGCGTCTCCCATGATGGCAGATGGCTGTACATGGAGGGGTCGTACCGCCTTGAAGGCTCCGTCGTCGGAGGTCTTCTTCCGCCCTCAGCCGCAGGCGGAACAACGCGTACCCGCATGCCCGCCATGGGCGGAACAGCGAGTACCTACACACCGCGTTTCGTTGACGCCCTGCGCTTGCGACGTTGCTTCCACGGCCGGCACGACAAGCACACATGGAGGAAGACGACAAACAGGAAGACGACGACAACGAGAAGCAGCAGAGGCAATCTCCTCTGCATGTCTGCCATGAATTCGACGTCGACAGGCGACCTTGCACATGACGTCGTGCTGAACTTTCTCCTCACAAGCCCGCGGATAAGGACGTTGGGCCTTCATATGTCGTCGACCGCCAGCGAAGACGACAAACGATGCCGCCTGCGATTCAAAAAAGTGACCGTTGGCGCCCACGATAGCCTCTGTGTGTCGTCATGCGCACGTCTGGGAACTCCTCCGTTGCCCGCACCCGAGCCAACGGTCCTCAACACCCGCGAGCCAGGTCATGCTTCGCCCACCGCGCTCCACCCCACCGGCCAACGGCCACCTGTGGGGGCCGTTGCCGTCGTCAACCGGCAGAAAACCTCCGATGTCCGCCCACCGACCCGACGGACCTCTCCTGGACCACCACCTCCGTGTCGACGGTGCCATTCTTGCGACGCGACTACTCGATGAAACGCGGGAATCCTGAATTTTTCAGTAGGTCCGGGGCTACTGGAAAATTTAGGACGATTTGGCTGGGGAATCCTAAATCTTTTAGGACGAGTCCTAACGCCGTTTTCACATTTTCGCTTCCCGCGTCCGATTTAGGATTGCGTGCAACCAAGACGCAATCCTAAAAACAGGAACTCTTAGGAGTGTCTAACGAGACCCTAAGTCCCAGGACCTCCTTCCTCTCTAACTAAAATAAAATCCGGGCTAAAACTAAAATAAAATCCGGGGCTGGGTCCCAGGACCTCCTTCCTCTCTAAAAGTCCCAAGACCTCCTTCCTCTCTAACTAAAATAAAATCCGGGGCGAAGTCCCAGGACCTCCTTCCTCTCTCTCTCTCTCTCTCTCTCTCTCTCTCTCTCTCCCCCCTTCCCCCCCCGTCCCTCCCCTTCCCATGTGAAATTTCAAGAACTGAATAGAGATTTGTTACCATGATTCCAGGGGTTTAGACTTGGCTTCGAATAGGTACCTGTTCCGCCCATATGGATCTGTGAATCTAACGGCCGCACTGTGGCCACGTTGAAAATTACTCAAGAACTCAATTCAAGCCCTGCTACAGTAGTGGGACTGGTCCGGGGCCCTTAGGGCTGCGTTCCTCCCTGGTTAGAACTGGAGTGACTCCTGGCAGAACGGGACGAGGTAGTGGGGAATTACGAGTTAGGTTTGCGTTCCGAGAAAAGACAGAAGGGCCCACACGTGGCGGCGACGACCAGGGAAATCCGGGGCAGCATCCTGAAACTCCAGTTCAATGCCGGTAATGTCGATAGACAAGTTTCTTGCAGTCGAATACCACGTCCTGAAACTCCAGTTCAATGCCGGTAATGTCGATAGACAAGTTTCTTGCAGTCGAATACCACGTCCCGGACATCTGTGGTTGACAGGGCCTGGTAGAGCAAGAAAATCACACTACCAATAGTAGCGCGACCACGCTAGCACGGCTAGGCTAGTAGAGAAGTCCACTGCTCCCTGGTTTAGCCGCAGGCCTCAGTGCTCCGGCGTCGATGACGACGTACTGCTGCAAGATCTGAATGGGACAATGGGCATTCTTTACATAATCTTGTTGACGTCATCTGCATCTGTGTTGATTGGCTTGATTCGACGTCTGATTCCGTCACCTCTTTAGCGGGAAATCGACGACGTTCTTCAAATTTGTAGCACATGAAGCTCTTGGTCCGATAAACTTGAAGGCCTTTTGTTTCTGACATGTTTTCGGGAGAGTTCCTTCCTGTCCTGATCGATTGCATGCGAATCCCGAGCCTGTTACAACTCAGCGTGCAATATGAAACCGAGCTTTCCCGCAACAGCGAGGTCAAAACGAGCAGTTAAGGGAAACGTCTGGTCTGTGCTCGTGCGCGAGGGGTTTGTGATAGAGGCAGAACGCCGAAGGAGAGGGTAAACGGTGGGAAAGGGAAGGAACGGTGGAAGCGAGGGAAAGGTGGCGTTAGTTATGGCCCCATCGCCAAGCAGAGAGCGCCCAGTAGGGCAACATCACCCGCGAGCCATCCCGGCGTCTCTGGGAACTGCAGCACGCGCACAGATCCTACCACCAGTGAAGGTGCGTCAACCCAAGGGACTGCACTCTCCAAGGTGTTTTTCTCCATCAAACAAACGTTCTGAGGATCCACAAGCCGCGATCTCGGCTGCTGCTACTGATCTCGATCCGATTGGTTCTGACGGTGGGACGATTGCACGGGAACGTCTGGGAGGAGGCGCTGTGGGAGCAACCGTGCCCCGAGCAGTGGGACAAACCTCCTCCCGTCAGCCCATAGCCCGGCGCTCTGAGGTGGTCACCCAGTCAGACGATGGGCTGGAACGATATGCGACTCGTGAAGAGCAGAGCCACGGGATGTGCTTACCATCCAGAGGGGCTGATGGCACATCTTCCCCGTCGTCTCCCTTATCCCCTCTCCCTTCTTCGTCTTGGCCGTTGCAACGCGACACCGTTGTATCTCCAGCAATTGGACTACTATCGTCTCCCGCGACGCCACAGCCGACCGCGCTTTTTCCCTCATCCTCCCTCCCTTCTCTGGTTGTTCCCCTGCCAACCATTTCTGATTTTGACTCCGATGGACTTATTGCGGGCTCTGCACCTCCAAGGCCTTACTGTCCATTGAGCTCCCCCTTACATCCATCCCACGGAAGATCTGCAGGGGAATCAGAGGGTCAGTCGAAACTTCCTGGGTTACGAGAAAGGGAGGTGGTCAGGTTCGAGCCAACTGATCTCGGCAGTTATCCGCCTCGGCCGATCGAAATGCTGCTATTCACCGACAAAAACTCTCACAGAGAAATGCTGGACACGTACAACAAAGGAAGTCACGTCGGGGACGCTTGCAGCACGCTGCCCTTAGAGTTGTTTGATAACCCCGAGATGGAGCTAACACACCCGAAGGAATGGTTGCAACAGGTAGGTCTTCAGGTTTTCCAAGTTTCTCTCCATTATTCACTCCGCTCTTCTCCCATCGAATATTCTGGTGTGGCCAAGGCCAGGGTCTTGAAGTTGATCATACATTTCAGTTCCGTTTCTCATATTTCCGCTCCGTTTCTTACTCGCACTCGCGAGCTCGCTCAGCAGGTACAGTTCCACGTTTTCATCGAAGGGTTATCTCCTTTCACTTCTTTCGGTTTGCCCTTGGGCTATGTTCCAGTAGCAATGGCATTGGCTAGAATGCTAGTAGTGTGTGGCACCAACCACACACGACTCCCATTGAATCTGAAAGGTCCCATGCGCAGACCATGGGGTTTAGAACACCAAATTGGGAACTTCAGAGAAGCTCAACGAAAAGAAAAGACTACACATTGAGCATTTCCGTTTCCCGCCAATGCGACAAGTACTGTTGTAACATACAAGTCAATATGCTAGAATAGAAGATCATCACCATTTCTACCTCTTGTTGCTCACGTCTTTTAAGCAAGCTATGTGGTTAGTGTTCCAGTTATCTGCTCCTGTCTGTCCCTAAATCAGCACAGCTGCTCAGACAACTGTTCTGTTTTCTTTTGCTCTCTATTTTCTTCGTTTTCTTGTGTGATGAGATTGACAAAACTGATCTTTAAGGAGGCCCATGAATCTGGTGATCGCTGATAGGAGGTGCCTCGTTTTGGTGCAGCTATCTATACTCAGTCTGTCACACAACTCCAAAACTGAGCTATTAACCTTGCTAATTAGGACATGACCCCCGGTCACTGATGACCGTGTAGACTACGCTTTGCACTCCCTTATGACAAAATATGCAAAGCTTGGCGTGCAGCCACATCTATACATACTACATACGGACATGACTTGTGTAAATCCAAATCGAGCACATCCAGGACATGCATACACTATGATACACATATATATGCCGTAATTGAAGTCTGATGCTGGATGGTGTCAGGGCTTCTCTTAATTCCTTTTGCGTGCCCACTTCACAGGTTTCCGTTTGTGTTGTGTACCATGATGTTCTTCAGAGTGCTATGCTGTGGTATTATACTTTCTAGCTCTTGGGTATGATGTCCCTTAAGTCCTGTTATCGTATTGCAGTCCTGTTTGGCTGCCCATCGTCGGCGTCGTGAATCTACGAACATCACCTGGAAAGTCTTCACTTGTCTTGCACTGCGACTGTCTCCTCTCAGGATATGCTCCTGCTTCGAATACATTGGGATTTTCACTCCCGTATTACCTTGTCTCTCCGAGTCTTGTCCTATTGTCGTTTCCTTTGGTAGTCGAAGGGAGGTTGTGCATTGTGCTGTTCTGCGTTTGGATTTTCGAACGCATTGTGCTGTGCCTGAATCTCCCCTCCTCGTCCTCCTCTTCCTCTTCGCTTTTCATAAACAGGGCGGACCATTAGACAAGAAGGGTCAGAAAGAGATTACCGAAATGACGGAACTGCAACCCCAGACAAATGGGGAGCAGACATTACAGACAAATCGGACACAACAAAAAAACGAGGGAGGCAACACAGACATCCCCAGGGGACAGAAGAATGTGCCCCCTGACCAACGCCCTGGGGACAACCTCACTTTGGATAGCCCGCCAAAACGTCAAGACCCATTCAAAGAGGCTTCTGGGACTGCGCACGAGAAAATTGACTGCACACTGGTGTCCCCTATGCAGAGCTTGAGGAGCTTGAGGACCCTGCACCCGACGCTGTCTGAGGAATTCTGGGATGGTACATACAGAGAACTTATCCCGCTGCTGGATAACAGTGAGAGCCTCCGAACAGAGCTGGAACACAGCCCGCCCGCTGGAACACAGTGCCAGAGATCTTCAATAAAGTTTTCTGCATTGTATATCAGAATTTCCTCTCCCCAAGCGTGTCCCACCAAAACCGTGTTCCGAGAAACAAGAAACCACTGAATAATCATAAAATTTGATAAAAACAGATTGTGCAATCACGAGGCAGTTTGGACTCAACCCTCCTCATCCAGAACGGTATAAGCAGGATGGAGAGGTGCCAGATAAGGAGGAAATACCCCACACACCAACAAAGACCCTGACACATATCAAGGCCAGGACAGGCATGGAAAGGGTGGAAAACCCAGAAGAAGGTGCTCAACGAACAGAATGCCTCACAGATAAACGCTACAAACTCAGACATTTGCTAGAAACAGGACAGTATGTGGACCGACAAGGGATAGAAGGGATTTTTTTTTTTTTTTTTTTTTTTTTTTTTTTTTTTTTTTTCGATAGAAGGGATCTTGATCCTACCTGTGAGAAAAAAGAGAGGGGCGTGGGAGCTGGGCCTGTCTATGCCCCCACGAAAGAACAAACACGGGTAACAGTGGCGGGTGTCAATAGTTATATGCGCATAATGGTTGACAGACTTATGGACAATCTGATAACTAAGGTCATCTCCAAGGGCTTTAAGCCAGGAGCTCATGCAACAATGACCGGGGGTATGGGAAAGCTGGCACAGTGGGAGGCCTATGTCCTTTCGGTCCAGGGATAGAAGCCGGACTGAAGTGGTTCTCTCATAATACTCTCTTGGAACTCCAGATTGAAGGACACATGGACTGAGGAACACATTGATGCCTGCCTGTGGAAGATCCTCTGCAAAGGCTTGCTATTTCGTGGCAAAAGTTATAACCATGCTGCGTAGAAATCCCCCATACCACCAAATATACCCAATTAGAGCGACTTGTGGGACAAATCAGTGGCGGAACAGCTCTTTGCAATCTGCGGACTTAGATTGGTCGCTTGCTGCAACAGAATGAGCTGGGAACCGTGAAACCATAAAAGAGGCAGGTGGTACGCGATCTGATCAGAGGCATAGAGGGCAGGGATTGGCCAGATGAGTTGTGTATACAGGAGACCCAGAAGACCCACCTAAAGGACTCCCTGGAGCCACAACCAGACCCACAGGATGATCTGGCCACACCAGGCTTTTAGGGGACACGCCCCCTGACCAGGCAGTGCGGGGGTTGCTATTTGGCTCCCCTGGAGCTCCAGTATCATGCCAGTGCCCTGGACGACAGATCAGGAGGAGGATAGATGAGTTTCTGTCCTGGTCATGCATGAACTTTAAGTAGTTTGCCTAGTGTATGTGTCTGTACTCGGGCCTGGACCATGTCATGTGCGCAATAACCCTGTCCTTTCGGGTAAAAGACAATTCAAGATCCTGTATCTATAAGCTAAACACCTCATTGCGCACACTAGACAAGTTCACCACCTTTTTGAAGGTTTCATGGATGTGTTGGCAGTCCCAGAAAACAATAATTTCTGCAACAATAGACTGGTTGCAGCGGGCCTTCATCTGCCCTGGCCTACAGCCAGGGCCCATTTGGCTATTTGCCAGTTCCTGACCCCACAGGCCGTGTGCTGTTCCAGTCCTGCCTGGTACCCTGCCCGGTACCACTGTCGGTACCAGGCCAGTCCAGTCAGTCAGTCCGCTGGGGGTATACCCCAGATGTTGTCTGTTTTTTGTCATTCATCATTTTTGCACTTGTTGGAGTATGTGCGGTGTTGAGTCTGCGTCGGAGCTGCGCTGTCCCTTCCAGCTCCATCTCCACTTCCTCCTTCCTCTACCCCTTTGTCTCCATCCTGTCGGACCGCCATCCCGGCGGGTCTGGCACACTGGTATCAGAGCAGGCTTTCCTCCCTGTTCCCCTCACCTCCCTCCACCATTTGCCACGTGGCTTGAGCAAAAAAAAAAAAAAAAAAAAAAAAAAAAAAAGCTTGCCACTTTTACCCCCAGATGATACCGGTGCACATTTTTTATGGTAACGTTTGCACTTGGTAACCAAATTTATTGTTATTTAGCTTGTTGGAAAGCTCTCGACGAGCCGCTTCCAACGAGCTATAGATTGCTAAATTCTATGTGTTGGTTCAGGAGCTGCAATCGTTCAAAGATCGTAATGTTTTTATTTTGTTTTTTAAGCTCTGAAACCGCGCGCACTCGTTTTTCAACGAGCGCTATTACTTCAGACAACGGCTGGTGCAGCGCCATATCTCGTTGGAAGCGGCTTTCAAAAAACTTTCCAACGAGTCCTCTTTTGCCAAATTTCATCCAGCGGGTCAAAAGTTATTGGCAAAAGAGTGTTTGCCATCTACCTCCCCTCTCTTTGTCTGTGGCCATCTCCAACAGTGCCACGTGACAGCTTGCTGAAGATGAAGACCCCCCTGGCTAGGGGGATGCACTACAGTGACATCTGGGTGGCTGATCAAGATCTCAGCCCACCCCAGATTTCTTATTGCAGTGGCATCAGGCCAACAACATCTTGAATCATCTTTTCTCCCCCCCTACCACTACTCTCTACTCCTACCTCCCTCTCCACTCATCTTCCACAACCGTTTTCTCTCCTCTCCTCCCCACTCACCATCTCCCACTAATCTCATCTACTCCTCTCCACCTTTTCCATATCCTTATCTCCCATTCTACCACCCTCCTCCCCTCCTTCCCTCCCCCAACTACCACCACATCATCTCCTCCATCTCCCACTTTACTTTTTATTTCTCTTCTCACCTATTTCTCTCTTTCTTCACCACTTTTCATCCCCCCCCAACCCAACTTCAAATTTTTTGTTTTTTATTCTTTTCTCTTTCTCTTTGATTTAAATTTTCTCTTTTCCTCCAAAAAATTGAATAATTTTATTCCTTACTTTTTTTCTCATCTTCTGATTTTTTTTATTTTTTATTTTTTTTTTTGAAAATTCGATTTTTTTTTAATTTTTTTTTTGCAGCACCTTTATATCTTGCTAGGACTCAGTCTTTTCTGTTGTCGACACATATTTTGACCCCTTGGGGGTAACGAAGTGCTGCCGAAATTTTGTCGTTCCTCCCTACTTTCTTCTTATCGCACATTTTGACCCCTTGGGGGTAGCGAAGCGCTGACCAAATTTTCCCATTTTACTTAGTCTTTTTCTTGACGGCACACTTCGACCCCATAGGGGTAACAAAATGTTGCCGAAATTTTTGAAAAACTCCAAAACTTAGTTTTTTTTCACTCTCCTCCACCTCCTTCTTTATTTATCTATTTATTTATTTATTATAATTTTTTTATTTGAAAATTTTAATTTGCAGCATTTTGAAAGTTAGTGTGCTTCTCTTGCTCTTTCTTTCCTCTTGGCACATTTTTGATCACATGTGGGGTGGGAAAATGGTGCCGAAAATTCAAAAAAAAAAAAAAATTATCTCCTCACTCCTTACATTTTATTTATTTATTTATTTATTTATTTATTTATTTATTTATTTATTTATTTATTTATTTTCCTCTCCCCCTCCCCTCCATAGTTATTTTTTTTTTCTTGATTAGGTCGCCGCTACCCTTCCCTAACCACCTAAACTCCGGTTAGGGTTTTCTTAGGGTTTTATAGGGCTTAGGGTTCTCCTACCCACCCCCCCTTACTCTCCCACCTCCTCCCGTCGGGCACCCTGGACCTGAATGGCTCCTCTCCTCTCGACCGGATTCGCGCCACCATCTCACGCGCGACCCGCTGGTCATGGGGCGAGCCGACCCACGATTACCCACTCCGCTCTCGCGGTCTCCTCCCTCTCACCGGTGGTCCCCTATCCCCATACCACAACCCATATCTCCCCCCACCTCCCACCATGTCTTCTTTTCTCCCTCCACCACCCACTGAGAGCGCTACAACCGAGGAGATCGCCGCGGCTCAGTCCACATCCCACGTCACCGCGCAGTCATCGGCTCATGATCAGGCCTATGCGGACACCATGAACCTTTATGCCGTCCTTGTAGCAATCCAGACGCAACTTAGTACGCTTGGATCATTGCAAGCGCAAATCAATGCGCTTACCCTTGACGTCAACCGCCTCAAGGGCTCTCCCCATCGCTCTCCCCTCCACTCTCACACCCCATCCCCCGCCAACTCACCGGCCGGCTCCCCACGACTCCGGCGACACGAACGTGGTGGTTTTTCCTCCCTTGTGGCTCAGGCCTAGCACTCCCACTCAGCAGTGGTGAGTGTCGCTACTGCTCAAACCACCCTGTCTGTTGCGGCACCTCCCTTAGCACCTGCCGCCCCTACCGTCTCTACTGTTGCCGCAGGTGCTACGGTCCAGATACCACCATCTTGCCCAGCAGTTTTATCGACCAACACCGGTGCTGCTTCCCAGCTTCCCGCACTAGTCGCGGCATTACGACTCCGCCTTCTTCTTCCCGCCTTCGTTCCCCTACCCCCACAACAGGGTACCACCCAGGTTGAGACTCCTCTTCCCACTGGGAGACCCGCTCCGCTTCCTCCACCTCCGACTCCGCACACCCAGCGAGTGGCCACTTTACAGGCCACCATTGAGCAGGCTCAAACAGAGATCTTGGCCTTGAGACAGCCTCACCCTTCACAGGCTGCTCACCCTTCTTCTTCCTCCACCACCTCCTCGACAGCATGCGGGCTCGTTTCCCGCGACCGGCTCCTCAGCCTCTCCCCTCTAACCTAGCCATTGCGGGACAACTGCCCGCGGTCGTTGCCTCCTCGTCTGCTGGTCCATCCGCCAGCAGCCACGACCCACAGCCTTCCCCCACCTCTGCCCCTGCAGCGGCCCCGACTTATGCCGCCGCAGTGCACTCGCCTCGATCTCTCTCCCCCCGCCATTAGCACAGTGGACATTCTCCTGTGCGCACCACGGACATTCCCGAGTATGATGACACATCCCGTGTCTCTCGCTGGTTGCAGATAGCAACGCGCACACTCTCTATGACGACCACCCGTCAGGAGCAGTGGTGCGACGTGCTCGCAACCAAATTCCGAGGTAGCCCTTCCACCGCGTGGGAGGACTATTATATCCAGCGCCTCCGCGTGGGTGAGGCTTGCAGACTTCGCAGCTTTCCTTCTGAACCGCTTTGGCGCTCGTCATGACGCCAATGACGCTTTAGACCGTGTCACCCAGACCCAATGGTCCGCGTCCTCTACACCGGCTGACCTCGAGCGTCACATCCGGGTGTTTCAAGATGTCCGCCTTGTTTGTGACGATATGTTCCTACCGGAGGTCATACTCACCGACCGGTTCCTCATCAGCCTGTCGACTGACTACCGCTTAGAGCTATGGAGGCGATCATTCTCTTCCGCGGAGCAGGCATACGAGGCTTCCCGTCAATAACAGAGGATGTGCAGTCGCTTCTTCGTATCTCAATCCTCTTCGCGGCTAGCCGCCACCTCCCAGTCTCGCGGTACCACCAAAGGCCGCTCCTCTTTTGCTGGTCGTTTTCATTGCCCGGCTCGACCTGGAGCGTCATTCTCTCGACACTATAGTTCTCTCGAGTATGGCGAGGACGCTTCAACCGAGCTCGACCCTACCACTGGGGACGCTCCTGAGGACATCGAGGTTCGAGACGTCATCTCGTACCACTTGGATGACGACACTGTCCTAGTGGCCAAGCGCCTGCAGATGGCCATGTCTTCCATGGGTCGTGCGCACAGTCGGGTTGCACAGGCTGGCACCCGCACACCCACAGTTCCTCAGATAGACCTCCCACAGGGTTTTGTCCCTCCTCGCGGAGCTTTATCCCTTGAGGACCGTGCCGCCCTTGAGGCCCGGGGCGGTTGCCATAGTTGCCGCCAGGATGGGCACACCTCCTCACGGTGTCCATACCATACCGCCCTCGATCGGCACTACGCTGACATCTCTCGTCAGCGTTGATCTTAGTTCCCCCCCGACCCTGCACAGCCAGCCCTACCCAGCTAGCCACGGTGCAGTGTACCACTGAGGCCTCGCACGTAGCCGACTTCCGACCACCGAGTCGCGGTTTGCCCTTTTGGCTAACCCACCAGAGGATCCTCAGGACACGACAGACGCAGTTCCCTCTGCCGCGTCGCCTGTCGAGGTACCGTCTGCCTCACAGCAGACCACCGCATCTAGTGTTTCCCCTCCGAGACTTCCGACGCGTCGCGCCATCCGCACAACCCATTGTAGCGCTCAGCTGGCGACTCGCGATGACGTTGTGTCATCTCTCCTGGACTTTAGCATTCTTCAGGCTCGTCAGGAACGAATCACGAGACACGTCAACGTCCTGCATCGTCTTCTCGCTCTGCTTTCTGACCCTGATCGCACCCTACCCATTATCCCTATTCGCCTAGGGACATCTACGAGGGTGTACCGCGCTTTATGGGACTCTGGCTCGCAGGGAGATTTCGTTCACCCTCGAGTGGTTGAGGAAACTCGCCTAGCTACCTCTAGGTCCCGCTCCCCTATCCCCATTACCCTCGGAGATAACAAGATACAGCGCTTCTTCGATCAGACGATCCCCGACCTCCACTTCTCCCTCACCCTCCAGCCACCACGGCGCTACCATTCCTCCGCATACTTCGACGTGCTGGAGACTGGGTACGACTTTATCCTTGGCACTCCATGGTCTCGCCAGTTCTGTATCCCAGAGGCCGAATGGGCGACCGAGACACTCGTTCTCAAAACGAAGTGTGGTCATATCCATCGCGTCCCCTTCATTGGAACCACGAACGACACTCCTCCCGACCTACCTCCCAAGGACCCTCGTCCCTCAGGGTCTCACCCCGACATCGCCTTCACTTCCCCTTGTCAGTTTGCTCACTTCATACGACAGGAGGACGTCACATTCTACTTAGTGAACGTCATGGATCTTCTTCGCTATGATCTACTCTATCCCGAGGTTGAGCTCATCTCTCTGGAGCCCGGTCCCCCTGACCCTTCCTCCATCTTCACGGCTCTCATCTCTATGTCCACCCGTCAGCCTGTAGATGTCCCCTCCACGTCCCAGACTCCTGCGCCGTCGATTGTTGAGTCCACACATACGTCTCGTGCCGACGCAGACATTGAGGAACTTGCACGGTTCACGGCGGACTTAGAGCCCGCCATTTGCGACGTGATTCGAGAATACCGCGGCGTCTTCCCTCTGTATTTCTCATACAACGGGATCCCTCCAATGCGTGGTGTTGAGCATTCTATCCAGCTCGTGCCTGACTATCGTGTTCACCATCAGGCACCGTACCAAATCTCGATTCCAGAGGCGACGAAACTCAAGCGTCAGCTTGAGGAGCTCCTTCGACTGGGTTTCATTAAACCCAGTAACTCCCCTTGGGGTGCACCTGTCCTCTTTGCTCGCAAAGCGGGCGGAACTCTCCGACTCTGCATCGACTACCGTGGCCTTAACCGTTACACGGTTAAGAACATTTATCCCATGCCCCGCACGAATGAGTTGTGACCGACTGGCAGGCAACCGCTTCTTCACGAAGATCGATCTTCGTAGCGGTTATCACCAGATCCTCGTTGCTGCAGAGGATCAGACGAAGACCGTCTTCCGATCACGCTTCGACCACTACGAGTTCACAGTGATGCCATTCGGCCTCACCAAAGCACCCGCCACCTTTCAGACGGCGATAAACGATATCTTCAGGGACATCCTTCAAGAATACATTCTCGTATACCTGGACGACATCTTGGCCTACAGTCGTACCTTAGAAGACCATATCAAACACCTCCGCGATGTCCTACAACGCTTGCACAAGCATGGCTTCTATGCCAAGCTTAGTAAGTGCCGCTTTGCCCAATGCAAAGTGGACTTCCTAGGACACCATGTGTCTAACCAGGGTCTCCACATGGACGGCGCGAAGATCACTGCTATTGCAGAGTGACCCGTCCCCACATCTTCCAAGCAGCTTCGCAGTTTCCTAGACCTCACCAGCTACTATAGTAATTTTATCCAGGGATACGCTAGGTATTCCTACGTCCTTACCTCCACCCTCCTTCGGAAGAACCTGCCGTGGTTTTGGACACCCCTCTACGAGGACACCTTTCTCGCCCTCAAGAAGGCGGTGACTAGTACGCCGGTTCTTCGCCTCCCTGATTTTGATCGCCCCTTCATCGTCACCACTGATGCGTCAGATTTTGCAGTAGGAGCAGTACTTTCTCAGGTGTTTCYATCTCCTCCTGATTCACCTTATCCCCATGTTCCTCCTTCCCCCCCCCCTCCTACTGACACTGCTTCTCGATTGACGCCTATCCTCCCACCACTTCCCTCCACTTACAGTCCTCCCATTACTTACTCCCCGACCATCGCGGAGGATGGGACTGTTGAGGCTCGTGTTGGGGATTGCCCAATCGCCTTCTACTCCCGCCAGCTACTGCCTGCCGAGATAAACTACACTGTCGATGAACGTGAGGTTCTAGCAGTAGTTTTTGCTACCTGACATTGGCGTCATTACCTGCTCGGGGCGTGAGTTCTCCAGGTTTTTCTCACGAAGCACAAACTTTCCCTTTGACAGGCACGTTGGTGGCGTGACTTATCCGAGTTGAGTTTCACCACTCAGCCCATCAAGGGTGAAACGAACCGCGTCGCCGATGCCTTGTCCTGCCGTCCTGATCACAATCAGGAACCCATCCATCTTGCTGCCATGTCCATCACCATTGTTGATCAGTCGGTGATCGACACATATCGCACCGAGTACCGTCACTGCCCAGATTATCGCGCCATCCACGCGACACTGCGGAGTGGCAAGACCGTTCCCTCATACTCCCTTGGTGAGAACAGTCTCGTGGACTGGTATGGCAGATCTGGTCAACTAGAACCACGTATCTGCGCTCCCTCCACCGGATAGCTCCGCGTCCAGGCTGTAGCAGAGTTCCATGACCAGGCAGTTGCCGGTCCTTTGGGCTTCCACAAGACATTGGCTCGTGTTTGCCGCCTATACGTCTGGCCGATGCCCAAGGATTTCGTCAAAGCCCACATCCAGGACTGTCCTACCTGTCAGGAGGTGAACAGTGCGAACCACCTCCCGTATGGGTTACTTCAGCCCTTACCCATACCCGAGGGTCGTTGGCAGTCCATCTTGATGGATTTCATTGGTCCCCTCCGCCCACCCACTTAGCGCGATCATGATGCTATCTTGATCGTCGTCGATCGCTTCACGAAGGGTGCGTGTTTTGTCCCATGCCGCTATCGCATTAGCGCCCGTGAGGTTGTCGACATCGTCGTCGACCGAGTGGTGAGAGATCACGGCTTACCTCAGAGCATCATCTCCGACCATGACCTGTGCTTTACCAGCACATTCTGGCGACGCCTACACGAGGTGTACGAATCCCAGCTTCGCTTCTCATCGTCTTACCACCCTCAAACGGATGGTCAGACTGAGGTCACCAACAAAACTCTCGGTAATATCCTCCGAGAGTTTGTTAGAAATGACCAGCAGTGGGACTTACACTTAGCCCACGCGGAGATTGCGTACAACCACGTTGTTTCGCCAACTACGGGGATGTCGCCATTCCATTGCGATCTCGACTACCACCCTCGCGTACCCGCGGACTTCCTACGACCATCGCAGTTGCGCCCAGTCACTCATTGTCCTGCGTTGGATGATTGGATCGCCCACATGGCGGCGATTATGAAGCACACAGAGAAGAGTCTAGCCGACTCCCAGACTCGCATGGCCGCACGAGCGAACCGATCACGAATGGATCATCCATTCAAAGTCGGTGACGATGTGCTCATCGATGCACGCCACTTGCAGCTCGAAGCAGATACTCTTCGCAAGTTTGGGCGTCGTTTCTTCTCCCCATGCCGCATCGTTCAGGCCACCAGTTCTGATACTGCCACTAGTCCGGTTAGCTTCTGTGTGAAGCTACCTGATTACCTTCGATAGGCTGACGTACACGATGTTTACCACGTCTCCTTGCTGCGTCCTTATCACATACCGTCCGAGCACTTCGTCGGACGTCCTTATGAGCGCCCTCCACCTATCATGGTGGACGGTCACGAGGAGTTCGTTGTTTCCAACATAGTATCTCGCCGAGTTACCAACGACACCCCTCCACCCATCGAGTACCTTGTGCGTTGGAAGGGCTATCCTGATGAGGAGGTTACTTGGGAGCCCCTCGAGCACCTGGCGCACGCCCGGATGTTGGTGCGTGCATATGATCGTGCTCGTCGTGCTGAGACATCTGCTCCTACTCAGCGGACTGACCCTCTTCGTCCTCCGGCTGAGGAAATTGCTGAGGACGAGCCCGCTCCCTCTGAGGCCGTTCTTCAGGAGCAGATGGACGCCTCCGCGCGTCCAGGACGTCCTCGACGTCTTGACGGTTGACACTCTGATCACCTACTATCACCCCACTGACTCACACCATCAGGTACTCCATCATCAACTTCTTCAGGATGTCAGCGTTTTGCGGCTCTGCTTCGACATCGACTTCGACTCCTACTTCATCGACGTCATCGACCACTTCGACGATTTCAGTCACTCTCTCGACTTCAGCCATCTTATCGGCTTCAGCTGCTTTGGACGTGACTACTTCACATCACCACCCTACCTGTATATTCCCTTGCATCTGCCGCATGATGGTTCTCACTTAACTGAGTCTCTTTGAGTAGGGTTCTCCCTTGGTATCGTATAGGCATTGAGACCATAGCGTTATCTTGGCTTCCTTGCTCCCAGATTTAGCTCCCTCCTCCCCCAATCGGTGAGTTGTGTGCATGTTTCCCTCACCCACTACCCTCATCACCCTAGTGCCGTCCCTTGCATGCCTTCAATTAGGCATATCTCCACCCTATTCCAGGCTCCCCCTTTTTTTCATGGTCGACCCTGCATGGTGTCATCCTTTTATCGAGCATTACCCGCCCTGATGGTCTATCTATTAGGGTCCTTGGTTTTGTTTCGCTACCACTCTCCCACCTTGAGCCTGATGACCTATCCCACCTTCATGTGTGACTGCCCTTAGGAGTTTCGATTCTTAGGCTGCATTCACCCCCTCTGAGACCATCCCACTCTTAGTGGTTCAGCGACATGACATTATCTTGTGACATATTGCTCTTTTTCCTTTCAGCACTGAGGCAATTGCCTCAAGGACTTTAGGATTGTATATTGCTATATTTCATTTTCTGTTGTTAGCTAGGATGTGTATACCAGACATTTGCGTTTCATTTGACATTTTGTAGCTTAGGCTGCATCGCATAGACTCCGCGTGGAGCGTGCTCCGCATCCTAGATTTTTCAGCTGTCTTTTTATTGCAGAGTTCCGCTGCTTTTGCGGATAACGTGTTTATGGCTCTTGCGAACCATTACAGGTCTGAGGATCGTGCAACGGACCTTCATCTGCCCTGGCCTACAGCCAGGGCCTATTTGGCTATTTGCCAGTTCGGCCTGTGGGACCAGGTCGTGGCCTGACCCCACAGGCCGTGTGTTGTTCCAGTTCTGCCCAGTACCACTGTCGGTACCAGGCCAGTCCAGTCCAGTCAATCACTCCGCTGGGGGTATACCCCAACTTTTGTCTGTTTTTCGCCATTCATCATTTTTGCACTTGTTGGAGTACGTGTGGTCTTGAGTCTGCGTCGGAGCTGCGCTGTCCCTTCCAGCTCCATCTCCACTTCCTCCTTCCTCTACCCCTTCGTCTCCATCCTGTCGGACCGGCATCCGGGCGGGTCTGGCACACTGGTTTAGCAACGGGCTGTTTTCATGGCTCGGAAATGCAAACAATTCTTGAAACAACTTGCTGCAAAGTGTCACTTCAAAGAAATTGAAATAAAAGAATGGCAAAATTTTTTTTGAAGTCTGGAGCATTGCAGCCTACTGTCTTCCCCCGAACATAAGTCATATGCGTTATAAACGAATATCGTGGGTTGTATTCGTTTACAACGCATATGCGTTATGTTCAAGTGAACAAGACTAACTTTGCTTCCACAAGGGGGTCGGGTCTAGGCTGAGTAGGCTCAGTTGTGGACCACGGCTGGGGGCCTCAGAGCCTTGGCAAAAAGAGAGAGAGAGAGAGAGACCTTGCTGAGTGGCTTTCTTATTTTTCCACTTTCTTGGCCGCACCACATTCTTGGCTGTCAGAAGCGCCTTCACAGACACACACAGAGAGAGAGAGAGAGAGAGAGAGAGAGAGAGCACAGGCAGTGATCTGTGATTATGGGCCTGTCTCTTTCACCAGGGCAAGAACGGAACAGGCGTTGACCTTTGGGGAAAAAAAAAAGGTTATATTTGAATACAACAATTTTCTCTTCGTGAAATTGAAATGTAACCTATATGTGTATTATTCGAATAGAACGCATATGCATTATATTTGAATTGCCCTGGTATTCGAGGAAAAGGGTCTAACTTTCCAAGAACCCATTTTTTTGGAAAACTTGAATACAACGTATATGCGTTATGTTCGGGGGAAGACGGTAGCTTTCCCACCCGAGCGCCCGAGCCACCCGAGGTCGCCCGGAATGGCGCTCGGGCCTTTCAGCTCGGCTGTGCAACCCCCCCGGCCAGGCACGCGGGCCCCCTCAGTGTCGTACCCAAAACAACCATTATTTTTTTCTTTTAAGCTGCCGCCCGTTGACCCACAGGCCAATTTTGTTTTGGAATGGCAGCACGCTGATTTTCGGGGCCCGGTAGGGCCCTTTCTAGAAACTTTTTTTTTTTGATCCTGGTCGTCGATCAGCGGTGATCGACAACGCGAGTAGCTCCCAGGATTCAAATTTGAATCCTGGGCCAGTCTGCCTCACCCCGTGTGCACCACACCCTCCACCCTCCACCCTCCCCCCTCC